AGTAGCGATATTAGGACAGTGATCGTGACAGTGATGATGGCAATGACGACAGGAACGACTCTCCCAGGCCCTGTCCCAGAGGTTGGGGGCAGGATGCCTGTTCCACAGACGAGCACACTGAGCCTGGGGGGCAGAGCGTCAGCACCTCGGAAGTAGAGTCAGATACTTGCCTAAGGTCACACAACACCCCCCCCCCCATACCTGGTTCTCACTCCTCCCGCCCCTCCGCAGCCCACTGATTGTTCTGTCCTCCTGGGGAGCAGAAGCGCAGTGACAAGAGTTACAGCAACGTGCGCTGGGATGAGAAAAGTGGGCTTGCGTCAACTCTGCATTTGGGAATTTAAAAACCTGAAATCGAGCCCTCGCCGGTTTGCTCAGTGGATAGAGCATCAGCCTGTGGACTGAAGGGTTCAGTTACAGTAGCACGTGCCTAGGTTGCAGGCTCGGTCCGGTGTGCAGGAGGCAGCCAATCAATGATTCTCATCATTGACGTTTCTATCTCTCCTCTCCCTTACTCTCTCAAATCAATAAAAATATATATTTTTAAAAACCTGAAATGTAATTGCCGCACATAGACATGACCCTTGATGCGATGTTTGCCCGACGCTTGCCCTGCAGTTCCCTGAATCCAGGCTGGGGCCACTCCCGGGTCCTCACCCTTTTGTTTGGTTGTTTTCTTCCTTCCCTGAGGGTTTTGAGATATTTTTTTTTTTGGGGGGGGGGGGTGGATTTAAGTCACAAGCTTTGGGGACAAAACCTGTCAGTCCAGGACAACTCTTCTGGGAGGTGGCGGAACACAGAGCCTTCCCGGGCCAGAGAGGTTCCGGGAAAATGGGATCTCACACAAAGCCGCGCTTCGTGTGCCACTGCTGGGAGGCAGCGGTGTTGGGCACAGAGGAGATGTGACCTGTTGACTGCTCTGCCTCTGTCTGCTTCTCTTTCCTGTACTGACTTCTTCTCCTGAAATACTTTGAAGTTTCCCAAAAAGATGCCAGAGCACAGAGTGCTCCTGTCTGCCCAGCACCAGACAGAAGCCTGAGCCACGTGTGCGTTACCGGCTCTCTCTGGACCTACTCGTGCGTGCTATGATTTGCTGGCTGAACCGTTTGAAAGTTAAGTTGCAGAAATGAGGACCCTGACCCCAAACACTTCAGGGTTTCCTAAAAGCAAGGACCCCCTCGCAGAACGCAGCACAGAGATCGAAGTCAGAGATCGGAACAGCGGTCCTGTACTGTGCGTGGTAGACAGTTGTCTTCCCTCTGACTGTTTTATTATTTTCAGACCCACAAGTATGTGCTGAACCCCCATTTCCTAGTGTCAGCAGCAGACAGCATCCCTGCCCTCATCGTACGCCTGCCCTGTGCCATGCGCCACTCTTCTCTGGAGTATTTTACAGCTAAGTCGTGACATTGATTGATCTGTGAGGACTTCATCGTAAATCACTGTTCAATCCTCGGGATGGGATGTGATGGAAAATCTCTTGAGTCGGCTGTGACCAACACTTAAAAAGAAAAAGAGAGAATAGATCATAAAATCAAAGTGTGCTGTGCAGACAGTGTGTACAGGGCTGTGATGTTAAGAGTCTTTCTTATGGTGGCCACCAGGGTTCCTGGGTTTATTTGTGGATGGTCTGAGCTTGGCTGCAGGACCCCTGAGGGGGAGACGCAGCCTGGGGAGGGTTGGGGAGAGAGCGGTCAGGTCTGTGCTACCACCCACCCCAAAGCCCTGCCTTTGGAAGTATGGGCTCTAGAGTCCAAAGTGCTGGGCTTGAACCCTGGCCCTACCACTTGCTACCCATGACCTTGTGCGCATTAACTAACCTCTCTGTGCCTCAGTTTCCCCATCTGTAAAGAGGTGATCGAAATGGTCCCAACCTCACGGGGCTGTTGTGAGAACTGATTGACCATGAATCTCTGTCAGGGCTGGGCACACAATGAATGCTCAAGAAAGGTGCCCGTTGTCCTTGCAGGCCTGGCCGTGGCTCTCTCTTCCGCCAGCCCCAGCCCATCCTCTGGCCCTGAGAAGGAGAGCTTCCTTCGCATCTCATCCTCCACATTAGAATCCCTTCAAGAGCTTTTCTTTTCTTTCTTTAAAATATATTTTTATTTATTTCAGAGAAGAAGGGAGAGGGAGGGAGAGATAGAAACATCAATGATGAGAGAGAATCATTGATTGGCTGCCTCTTTCATGCCCCCTACTGGGGATTGAGCCCACTACCTGGTCATGTGCCTTTGATGGGAATCAAACCTGGGACCCTCCAGTCCGCCGGCTGACACTCTATCCACTGAGCCACACCAGCTAGGGCCCTTCGAGAGCTTTTACAGTGCCCGGCCGCACCTCAGGCCAATTACTCTGGGTCTCTGGGATGGGACCCAGGCACCATAGCTTTTAAAAGCGCCCAGGTGATCCTGCTGTGCCGGGAAGATGCGGCGCTTAGCCTTTCGGTGGTAATGAGCTTCCCCTGGGTCTTGTAGAGCATCTCCTGAGCCTTCAGGAGGGGTGTGGGGTGCGGCCTGAGAGCCTGCATTTCTCACAGGCTCCCCGCAGCGCCCACACTGCTGGTCCGGGGCCACACTCTGAGGACTGAGCCCCTGAGCCCCTGGAGAAAAGGCCACGCTGGAGACCACTACCTCCCTTCCCTCCATCACTGTCCTAAACAATAGCAGCTGACACTTCTTGGACTTCTCTATGCCCAACTCAGGGTGAAGCCCTTTTACAGCCATCACCCCTGACGTTTAGTTCTCGCTGCTACTTGAGGCTGCAAGTGCACCGGCCCCATTTTAAAGATGAGAAAAGTGAAGTCTGGGATGTTAAGGAACCTGCCTGTGGTCACTGGCTGAGCCAGGCTCTGGTCCCAGAGAGAAGAGCTACCGCTTCTAAGCAGGGAACTCTTCCTTCCATACACACTGCCCGGAGGCTTTCCCCATCCTTTTCTGTCTGTCTCTCTGCCCTGCCCTCGCAGTATCCTCCTCCCTCCCTCTCTCCCCTCTTTCTCAGTCTCCCTGACTCCATCTCCTGGTGCCTGTTTCCCGTACCTGCCCCACACACCCCACCTGGCTGAAATGGAAGCCTCTATCCTAGCCCCTCCTCCACACCAGCCCCCTCGGGGGTCCCACCATCTCCCAAGCCTGCGTGTCACCTGGACTTCCAGCTGCTTCTCCCTCCCATTGCCCTGCGGGCTTTGAAGTTCAGGCTCCACATTTCTGGGCCAGAGCAGAGCTTCTCCGACCTTCACAAACACACAGGTCCGAGGGGGCCTTGTTAAAATACTGATTCTGGCTCAGTGTGTCCGGGTGGGCCTGCGATGCTGCATTGCTGACAAGCTCCCAGCGGTGCCGAGGCTGCTGGCCCAGCAGCACCACCCATGAAGCAATGTTCTGGAGGACCTGGTGTTCCTAGCTGGCCCCTGGCCCACACACACTCCTAGAACGCAGCCTCGCTGCTTGGTGCCCTCACAATAACCCCCGAACCCTCTCACCAGCCCCCAAAGCCCTCAAGGTGCAGCTCATCTTATTCCTGCCCCGACCTCCCACCCTCTCGTTCCTCCCATGGACCACGCCCTTCTTATCCTCTGGACCTTTGCACATTCTGTTCCTGGGGCCTGAGAGGCTGTTCCCGGCTTGTCCCACTCCTGCCTACCATTAGGGACATGTTCCTCAGGACTCCCAGACTGGGGCAGGAACCTCCTCTGTCCCCCTCCTCACTCTGCTTCCCCTGGGCTCACCATGCCTATCAGGTCTAGTTTGTGTGTCTGTCTCCCCTGCTCTTCTGAACAACCTAGATTCCGGGGTGTGGTGCCTCATTGGGCCTTGCATCCACCTGTGTGGGCCCCTCTTGATGGGGAATGTGTAGGAAATGGGGATGGGAGGTCAGACACCAGGGAATGAGGGAGGGTGGGAAGGTGGAGATCACCCAAGAGTGGTTGGTAAAGCGAGTTGCCGTCAGGGGCACCTGCCTCAGATCCCAGCTTCTGGCAGGAGGAGCAGTCCGGGGATCTCAGAGCAAGGGGCTGGGGCCCTCGCTGGGCCACACATCTGTGTCAGAGATCTGAGGGGCACTTCTCATGGCCACCCTTCACCCCTCTCCGCTCATCAGCCTGGCACACAGGGGCTCCCTATGGATGAAGGGGTGAGCTCCCCATCCCCCCGCCCCCTGCATCGCCTCTCAAAGCCTCAGGGGAGTCCTCCAAAGTAGAAACAAGAGCCTCGCCTTCTCAGGAAGGCCTGCAGAGCCTCAAAGGCCCCAGTGGGGTGGGCCCCGGCCGGCGGGGGACCAGGGCAATCCCGGGTTAGAACCCCAGCTCCACTCTTCATAAGCTGGGTGGCCTTGGGCAGCTGACACCACTCTCTGAGCCTTGACTTCCACATCTGTAAAATGGGGGCAGAAGTAGCACCTCACAGGATTGTGGCGGAGGATTGAACGTCAAGAGCACTGCCAGCGGCTGCCTCTATTCATCGATTACTCAGAACACTGAGGAGGCATCACATTGCAGGAAGATCGTGGGAACTCTGGTTGGGACAGTTTTCATGCTCATGGACGGGAGGCTCACACCCCTGACAGCTTCATCCGTGACATTTCCAAAGACTCTGCATTTAGAAGGGAAAACCCGTCACGGTGGGCTTCGGGCCCCCCCGCAGCCTGGCTGAGGGCCCTCACATCAGGAGGTCCTTACCATGAAGCCAGCCAGCATCTGTGGCCCCTGAAAGGAAAGACCAGGTGATGTGGGTTCCGCATTGTCAGCCCCAACCACGCCCTCACCGTCAACTTCGCCGAGACCGCAGCCGGCCTCCAGTATATTTAGCTCTGAGGCGCCTGAAAGTTTTTTCCGCCAGCACAGACTCAGCTTTGAGCAAATTCAGCCCAGATGTAGTCAGCAGGCGCCGCAACCGAGGCCTCGGTTTCTCTCCCCACTCCTTCCTGTTGTGCACCCATCAGGGCTGGGGGTGGGGCCTGGGCACACGTGGCCAATACAAACAAGCCTCTTCTTTCTCCACAGCCAGGCGGAGGCGGAGGCGGAGGCGTCGACATGGGGCTTAAGCTGTCCTGTCTGAAAGGTAAGGCGGGCGGCTCTCCCTCACCAGCTCTGATGTGGGCGAGAGGGTGTGGCAGTGGGGGTGGCATGGGGCAGGACAGGGTGGGAGGGGAGAGCTGAGCCCCTAGTGTTGCAGCCATGGAGAGGGAGGAGACCCTCCCACTGAGCAGCACCTGCACACAGTAGGCACCTTTAAGTGCTTGCTCTGACTTTGAGGGCTCCTCCAGGCCTTTCCTTTCATTGGCAGTTGAGTGACCTGGGAACGTCGCAGCGCCCCCCTGGGCCTCAGTTTCCTTCTCAGAGGCATGAATTCCAGGCTGTGGGGAGGAAGGGAGCAAGAGGCTCTAGAAGTGGGTGCCAGGCATGCACCGGGTGTTTGCTCTCCACCCGCTGGCCTGTTATCACCGAGATAACAGGTTCGGCCTGCCAGAGGCTGGGGAAGGCAAGTTGGGAGGCGGGGAAAGCCAGCAGGGAGAAAGTTCTAGAAGGACACAGAATCACTGAGAAGTGTTGTAGGTGTTGGCAGAGGCAGCCCAGACCTCTGTCCCGTGCTCCAGACCTTTCTGTTCAGAGTCTGAAGGGCCCAGGGGCACCCAGACCAATATGGCCCACATGGAGACCTCCCCTCAAAGCCCATTCGTTATTGCATAACAAATGCTCCCACCCCACGTCTCCCCAGCCTGGAACCTGGGAGTCTCCCTGGTGGCCCCTCACCCACATGCAGCAGGCTCAGCAGCCCGGACTCTCCTCCTGGATGTCTGGGGCCCAGCCTGGCTCCTTCCCTCCACCACAGGAAGTCAGGAGGCATGGAGGGTCAGGCCAGGGCGAAGGGCCATAGCCTTCAGATCCCACAGCTGGGATGAGTGAGCTCAGGAGAGCCTCTGGTTGGTCCAGCTCAGGGCTCCCGCCTGCCCTTCAGTGGGGGGGTTGAGGGGGAGACAACCTGATGGACAATGCCTCCCCAACTGGGGGCAAGTAGGGAGCAGTGCTTCCCTTGGAGAAAATCAGGGTGTTGTTCGCAAAACGGGCATGAGGTGCTAGAGAGTCCTAGACAACCGCGCCCCTCCAGGGCCTGGTCCCTCTGAGGCTCCAGGCTGAGCCCAGGCAGGAGTTGGGGGCGGTGCTTGCTGAGTGAGTATCCATGGGGGATGCAGGTCCAAAGGTTGGGTCCAGAGACCAAACCTAAGAGTCCAGGACCCTCTTCCTTAGACTTCACTGGGTCTCCCCAGTGCCTGGCACAGAGTAGGTGGTCAGAATACACTTTTTGTTTCTGTTTTTATTGTAGCAAAATATACCTAACGTACGTCACCGCTTTAACTAGGTGTACAGTTCAGTGGCATTGAGCACATTCACGTTGTTGTGCATCTACCTCCAGAACTTTTCCATCTTCCCAAACGGAGTCTGTCCCCATTGAAAACTAACCCTGTCCCCCCGCCCCTGAGCCCTGCTACTCCCATCCTACTTAGTCTCTGGATTTGCCTGCTCTAGGGACTTCACATAGGGAATTGTGCAGTGTTGGTCTCTCTGTGACTCGGCATAATGTCCTCAGGGTCCAGCCGTGTTGTCACGTATGTCAGAGTTTCCTTTATAAGGCTGAGTAATATTCCGTACGTATGGACCCCAGTTGGTTCATCCGTTCATCCCTCGATGGACCCCAGGCTGCTTCCACTTTTGGCTGTTGTGTCAGGACATCTTTGACAAAAACAAGCCCCTAAAGGAACCTCTGGGGCCACTTCTCTTCCAGCCCAAGGCAGGCTGGGGCCTCAACCTGGGGAGGGACCCAGGAGTGCCGATGCTGAGAGTCCCTGGGAAACGCCCCCCCCCCCTCCCCCCCCCGCCCCTGAGAGCCTGAGCAGCACGCTGAGTGCTCCTGGGCTGCGAGCTTCTAAAAGGGCTCCTTCCGGCCGGGCCCTGGAGGAGCTAAGTGCTGGAACTGCAGGAGCAGTACAGGCAGGTCTGCTCATACATTTTTCATGGCTAGCCCTCTGGGGCCAGCCCACCGGCCCTCCCCTCAGCCTCGGCCAACACAGGCTTGGGTGTGCCTGGGGGAGGGCAGGGCACAGAACCCCTCTGTGCTAAACCGAGACAACCCAGCCCGTTAGCCCTGATGCCCCAACATTCTCGGCAGGGTCTTGTTCTCACTTTCCCCGTAAGGAATATGTCACGTGAGGAAACCTCAGCGTGCTGGGCACCCCGCAGCCCTGTGACCCTCACAGTTGGCCATGGGCCTTACCTGGCTGCCAGCAGGTATGGTTTTACCTGGTTGTCGGCACTGGCATGTACAGTTCTGTGCACTGTCTTTTATTTCTTTTTTATTTGATGTTTCGGTGCTAGTGCTATTTTTCCCAAGGCGGCGTCATTTTCACAGTTCTTTAATGCCTGTATCGGGTTCTGTCAAGAGTTGGTTTTGAGGTCCTGACCGGTGTGGTTCAGTGGTTGGAGCGTCGGCCTATGCACCCAAGGGTTGCGGGTTCAATTCCTGGTCAAGGCCATGTACCTGGGTTGCAGGTTCATTCCCCAGCCTCGGTCAGGGCATATGCGGGAGGCAACCAATCGATGCGTCTCTCTCACATCGATGTTTCTCTCCCCGCCCCCCCCCCCCAACTTTCTCTAAAAAATCAATGGAAAAAATGTCCTTAGGTGCAGATTAAAAAAAAAAAACTAAAACAAAAAAAGAGTTGGTCTTCGGGTTGTTTCCAACTTGTTGCTTTTGTAGATAATGCCATTTTGAACATCTTTGCTTTTTGTCTTTTTAAATTATTTCTTTGGGATAAGTTCCAGCAATCAGAATCCAAGTTAGCAATTAGGATAAATGGGGAATTCTTAATGGGGGGCTTAGCCTGGGCAGGGCCCTGTTCTCTGCATTCCACGTGAATGACTCACCTGCCCCTTCTCCCATCATAAAGTGGGTATTATTGTGATTCTCAGTTCCCAGATGAAGCTGAGGCACAGAGAGGCAGTGCAGTTTGCCTGGGGCCACACAGCTGGTACCTGTGTGTGGTTTGAACACAGGCAAATTGGTCCCAGAGGCCTGGTGTCAGCCACCACACATACAGCTTTTTCAGAGGAAAAAGGTTTTTTGTTTGTTTGTCTGATATATATATATATCTATAATAATAAAAGCATAATATGCTAATTAGACCAGACATCCTTCCAGATGACCTTCCAGACAAAGCTGGGGATGTAAGGGACGCCCGGGTCCCGGGTGCCAGAGGGAAGCTGGTGCCAGCAGCCCGGGGAAGGAAGGCCTACTCTTGCATGAATTTTTGTGCATTGGGCCTCTAGTATACTGTATATATAATTGATTTCAGAGAGGAAGGGAGAGGAAGAGCGAGAGATAGAAACATCAATGATGAGAGAATCATTGATCAACTGCTTCCTGCACACCCAGAGGAAAAGGTTTTCATTTGACTTTTAAAGTAGCCACTATAGAAACTTCATCCACACAAGCTCTTAAATATTCACTTTAACCCTATTAGACGGTGTCTTAGTGTCCCAGGCCTGCAGTAACATAGGGGTGGGGAGGCTTAAAACAACAGGAATGAATTCACTCTCAGTTCTGGAGGCTAACTCCAGGTGTCCCAGGGCCATGCGTCCTCTGAAGGCACTTGGGAAGGGTCCTTCCTGCTCTTCCAGCTCCTGGGGCTCCGGGCATCCCTTGGCTTGTGGCCACATCACCCCAGTCTCTGCCTTTGCCTTCACATGAGCGTCTCCCTGCGTTTCTATGTCCTTTCTCTGATGAAGACATCAGTCTTTAGACTTAGAACCAGTATTAAATCCAAGATGATCTCATCACCAGATCCTTAACTAATTACATCTGTAAAGACCTTATTTCCAAATAAGGTCACATTCTGAGGTTCTGGATGGACTTGAATTTTGAATTTGGGGGGAACTCTACTCAGCCCACTACAAGTCACTTCTCTGCTGAGCCTCCTGCATTGGGGACGGAATGTGCTTCCCTGCCCGGCAGTGAAGATGCAGGCGAGGTGGGAGGTCCATAGGCAGTGACCCTGGAGAGAGGAACACCAGGAAGCCTGGATACTTTTGTTTCTGGTTCCAAAGGAGAGTGGGCACTTAAAAAATTTCTTTTTACATATTTTAAAATGTTTTATTGATTTTTAGAGAGAGTGGAAGGGAGAGGGATAGAGAGAGAGAAATATCAATCGGCTGCCTCCTGCATGCCCCCTACTGGAGATTGAGCCCTCAACCTGGGCATAAGCCCTGACCAGGATTTGAACTGGTGACCTCTTGGTGCATAGGCCAATACTCAACCACTGAGCCACACCAGCCAGTGAGAGTGGGCACTGTAAGTGGAGTCCTTCTGCTCAAGGGCCTGGCCATAGCAGCCATGATGTATCGGAACGTTCCACGGTCCAAGAGCACCTCCTTTGTGTCCAGGCTGGCATCTGCTGGGTGGGCATCCCTGTGAGCCTGGCACTGCTCCCCAAGCATGTGCCCCCAGTTTTCTCATTTCATCCTCAGTAAAGCTGGACAACACATAGGTACTTTCACAGGGAGGGAGACTGAGGCATAGGGGAGCTCTCACTGGCTCAAGGTCACATGGCCTATCTGGAGGGACTTGGTTCAGCAGATGGCTGGAGGGGTGGTGGAGTCCCTGGTTCCTAAGCACATTCTCTGCTGTCAGCAGCAGGTGGCACTGCCCAGGACACAGCGTGTGGTTCTCAGGGGCATTCTCAGACTTGCACCCTGCACATCACCTGGGAATGAGACATGCAAATTCTCGGGACCCACCCTGTCCTACTGAGTCTGAGGTGCTGGGGGTTAACAAAACCTAGGGGGGTTCTGGCGCCTACTAAAGTTTGAGAACCGCTGGTAGAGTGGCTCAGGGGTCAGAGATGTCTGAGTTCAAATCTCCTTCTGCCCTGACTAATTGCAACCTTGTGCAACTCACTTCACGTGCCCAAGCCTCAGTTTCCCCATCTGTAAAATGGAGTGATGAATGGGGACATCTCCAGGGCCAGGTTTCAAGAAATATCTGAGATGAGCACTAAAACCGATGTC